CAAACCGTATATTGTATTTCACAGGTAGTAGATATTCTGCCGGCAGCCGGCACAACAAACCGAGCAAAAAAAAAAAATATAGCGGGAGTTGTTTTTATTGGGTTTCGTGTAAAAGGAATAGTCAAAACGAGGAACTCCTCGTTGTGTGAGTAGCTGAGTGGAAAGGTGTCAGGTTCACGTGCCGTGGGTGCCAGGTTCAAATCAGGGTAGGCGAACGTTTTTTTTTGTTTTTTTTTCGTGAAACATTTGGCGATCTATATTTATTTCTTTTTTAGAATAATCATTGCCGTCCGAAACTCCCGGCAATTTTTTTCTCCCGAGTGGTTGTGCCGGCTGCCGGCAAAATATCCCTACCCTATTTCATGACAGGGCACAAAAGGATGTTCTTGATTCGGAACGCCGTTTCGTCGGAGTATCTTCCGAATGGATCACACGACCGGGTCGTGAGGCTTCAGAAGCTGCCGAGAGGCACTGATATTATTTGATCACTCTTTTATTTAAAGCTAGCTTTTACACTGGAACATATTAGGTAGCAGTATTAGTTCGATATTGCGATATTTACGCAATTGCGTGAATCATTTTGTGATTCCTATAATTTTGATTTAGCAATAAAAATGTGTGTATGACTAAGGCCTCGTCGTGCAGAACTCATTGATATTTTATCGTGAACCGTGCACCCTTGAATGACCGATAAATTAAACTGGAAAAGACAACTTGTAACATTTAATGCCAATATGCGGCCTAGTTAGCCACATTCTAGATTATAATGTTCACCAGTGTGTTCTGTATTATGCTGCGGTTGGTTACATGATCACATTTCAGTACGTCCTCGCCTTCAACGGGGCACCTGTTGCTCTCGCCAATGTGGCTGATGATGGTTGCAACGGACAGGGACACTGAAAAGCAATGCGTGTGTTTCGTGAGTACGGCTTCTCCAACCTAGGAAGCGCTCAAACATCGCCACACAGCGTCAGTTACGCACGACCTGGCGCGCGCAGCCCGAGCGACGCGGCCGTTCGAGAGCGGCTACACGTGGGTTGGTTTTTGCTTCCAACGAGAATGCGGCGACATTTAAAGCAAGATGAGACAAGCAGGGACTGTTCTACCCATACGCAGATGCTTTTCGAGCGAATAAATATTATCCACATACCTTTCACGAGCCTCAAGTACTCGTCCTCCATGGCTGAACGAATACTCGCGGCGGGATTGTTATTCCCGCAGAATAGTTCCGACGGCGTCCGCTATCCAGCGCCACCGTACGATCTCCTCCCCAGTAGTGTGTAAGTATTAAAATGGAAACTTTCGAATTCGGTTTCTTTATTTTGTGTTTAAAATTTTTTATGTAGAAATACTTTATTACCTTCCGCGCCATGAATATGGTTATGAATATGCAGATAGGTATGGTGACTTAGCCCTTCATAGGGGTTTTTCATTGTTGCCAGTAAACAGTGCCGCCCTTTGTTCTGCTCGGAAAAGCAGATTGCAGAATTTTGTTCACGCGCGATGCCATATAAAATGAAAAATTGTTTGTTTAACAGTACAACTTTTCGTCATTATGAAGAATCCCTTTTTAATAATCCTTAATATAAATGCGCAATAAAATATTTTTCAGGGCAGGAACAACGATTATTTTGTCAACGGTGAATCGTAGAGCATGTAAAGCAAATGAGGGATAAAAACTCGGATATTCTCACCTGAACATAAGTTGGTCTCAAGCTCAACAGTTTTGAAACCCATATAGAACTTTAACCTCATTCGTTTAGTGGGAGATGCCGTTAGGCTTCTTCGCTAGTTGGCAAAATGTATATACCAAGCAAAACTATAAATATCACGATGTTCCTTGAAGATTTGATGTTGCAATTTCGACACACGCATGCAGCTCCACACCTACTTTTTTAATCTAAAAGCTCCTTTTTGTGTGTCCCAAAGTATAAAAGGCCAGTAAACTTTTTTCCGTGCACTTTAGGGCCTAAATTGAACCATGGTTAAAAGCGCTAAAAAAGACGTACACAAGAAAGAAGACAAACACGGGCGCTACTCACAACTGTATTGGGAAAGGAAGATGGAAGTACATATATATATATATATATATATATCTGATACACTTATCGTCACCCAGGCTACTCATGCGCGAGATACAAGAGCATAAAACCGTTTACATGTATTTATCGAAAAAACGAATCTCAGCGTTATACAATGCTATTGACGTGTCGCTGACGCACTGGGGTCCCCTCTTCTTGATAAAATATGCCTCTTGCAGTTCGCGTGCCCTTTGAATTCTGCTTCTACCGAGAATCTTGGTATCACCGAAGCGTGGCTCGCATTTGCAGACCCTACAGTGCGCGGGCAAATGTGCCCCGTCATTTGTCTTTAAATTTTGCGCGTGCTCTCTTAAACGGTCATTCGTGCATCTTTCCGTTTGTCCAACGTAAGATTTTCCACACGTTAGGGGGATTTCATACACGACCCCCGTGACGCATTCGATGTACGGCCTGGCGTGCTTCGTGCCACATCCTCGATCGTTCTTGATTTCTTTAGTAATTCGAGGGCAAAGTTGTCCGAGTTTCTTTGGCGCTGAAAACACGAGATGTACTCCGTACCTGTTCGCAACCTTCTTGAGGTTGTGCGCCATTTTGTGTACATATGGTACAACCTCTGGCCTCATATTGCTCAGTGCCGACTGCGTCACTTTACTGCTTGTGTGGCCTTTTACTTTCTGTAGGGTGACCTCTGCCACACTCGTCAAGACCGTTTGAGGGAAGCCCGCTGACAATAGTCTAGTCAATTGGTAGTGGAAGCTGGCCTGCATGCGGTGAGCACACGACTTCTTGATAACTGACTCTAGGCAGAGCGTTGCAATTCCTCTCTTTACCACCTTAGAATGCGCAGAGTCATATGGCAGGAGCGCTTTTTGGTTTCGTGGTGAATACATCCAACACACGTGTCCTTCCTGCAACTTCAAGCTCAGGTCTAAAAACTGTAGGTGATCCTGGTTAGGGAGTTCATGTGTAAAATGTAGGCCCTTGCCATGTCGTCTAAAAGCATCTAAAACCGAGTCCACCCCATGTTGGTACATCAAAGAAGTTTGCTTTCTAAAAACAATTAAAAAGTCGTCTACGTATCTAAAAACTTTAAAAACATTAAAATCATTGAGTACTTGCTCAAGCGTCTGATCTATTGTTGCTAAAAATATATTACAAAGTACGGGTGCCACACATGATCCGATGCAGATACCCTTTTTCTGCAAATAAAGTTGATCGTTAAAAGCAATAAACGTGCTGTTAAGATACGCTTCAAGCATGATTAAAAAATTGTCAACCGTTACTCCCGCTGTGTTCTGGAAGGGGATAACACCATTCTTATCAATGCACGCCCTAACTGCCTCAAAAAGTTCACGGTGAGGGACTGAATAGAACAAATCCTCAATATCAACAGAGAAGGCGTACCCTACGTTCTGGTTGCCCTCAAAGAAGCTAACAAGTTCATCTGATTTTTTGGTAAGAAAAGGGTCCGTCACCTGCAGGCTGTTCAAAACTTTTAACAGATAGTGACTTGCATTTATCTGCCACGTACCTATTTCACTAACAATGGCTCGGAACGGAATATCCGTTTTATGCGTTTTGGCTGCAAAGAACACGCTTAATGCGTCGCCTTTGCATTTGGAAATATCTTTCGCCAACTTGGCGAGTTCTAAGCTTTTACACAATTTTAAAAAAACACTTTTTGCTTTTGACGCTTTCATTTTTGCTGGAGTAAAATTCCCGTGTTTGTCTTCTTTCTTGTGTACGTCTTTTTTAGCGCTTTTAACCATGGTTCAATTCAGTCAACACCAACTACCCCAACAACAAGTTCTTTTACTTTAGGGCCTGCATGTATTCATTCTTATACCGAATATACCCTTTTGAACTATACTAGTAAAATAAACAAAGGTTGATTTCGTCATACAGCCAGCAACCTTTAGATAAGGTCCACAGATCATTTGACCTTTCCGGTAGGAGATATCCGCGAATTCCCGCCCTAGTGCATTCTACATTCTAGCCCTAGAGAGCACATAAAACTTAAGTAATGTACAAGAACCAAATATTGTAATTTTATATCAAGCTTTATTCATAAACAAATACATGATGCTCCATCTTTTGCAAAAAGAGCATACTTAATACTATCGTGTATAAGAGGTTGCTTCGATAGATGCCGCTGCCAACCCCCCCCCCCCCCCCCCTTCCCGTCTTTTGTGACTGTTTTCCTTGAATGTTCTAAAACATTCCGTGTTGCGCTGTCTTTTTGTGGTTCATTGTGTGGGTCTGAAACCTCCGACGGTTTTTCAGACTGACGAAGATGCCAACTATCAATGCTCTTCTTTTGAAACGTAAAAACAAAGAAAAATAAATTGAAATTATTTTGTGAAAGTTTGGTGAAATAGTGGGGAATATACGGACATCTGTAAAGTTCTTTATATAGGCTTCTCGCCAGTTTCGATTAGTACGCCTCGTCCAACCCTTCAAGTCAAGATCAAAATGTTGCTTGTTCAGTTAATACATAGGAAAAGTTATCAGATAATCCGACGGCAAAATTTTCTCACCTTAGAATTACCGAAAATATTCTCAATTGATAAGCTCAGGCCCTAGCGACAGCTTAATTTGGGAAAGTACAGTTTTGGTTCCTTTCATAAAAATATATATTAAAAAAAAAAAAACATATTCGCATTTATTGCACCTTAACGCACCGAAACAAAAAAAAAATATAGGCGAAATACTGACTAGAGTTTACGAACGAAATCCTTGCTCGTGAAAGATCACGGACAATAATTTCATCACAACTGTGCATTTCGTATTTGTTTTAAGTAAAATGACATAAAATAGACAAAACATGTCGATAGCGGAGAACTTTTTTTTTTTTTTTTCATACTAAAATGGACTCACTTTACTTCTGACTGAGCTGGAAATTTGGCCTGTCGCGTTCGCGGGCGTACTGCTTACATCTTACAGAATAGCTAATCATCTCTAGAGCGCAGTGATCTCAACTTCCTCGTTGTCCTCCAACATGGCCAACTGGGTTTTCCCGTGGTAGCCGTAACGATTGTTTTCCACGTACGAAGGCTCCTCTTTATCTACGCGTTTCCAGAAGCCCTCAAAATCCAGCGGAGGTCCATGACCTCCGTACTCCTCGGGCAAAATGCTGGCGGGCACCTCTTCGTGAAGAGCATCGAAGTTGATTCCGTGAAAATGAATCTGAAACGCAAAAATAACAAATTTTACTCTAATTCAGGTGTGATAAAACTTACACAAGAGTTTTCTTTTATTTACGCACCTTTCGATATTTTAAATAAGTTTACAAGAAATGTAAGGGCATTCATTATCGAAGGTTAAAGAAAGTAAAATATCAATACAATGTTTTCAGTAATTTCTTGCCGTCATGGGCGTACCAACCGGGGGGAAAGGGGGCAAGGAATGTGTTCCCCCCCCCCCCCCCCCCCCCCCCCGGAAACAGCTGCCCCCAAGGCAAACACTGGCCGGCTGCGCCCAAGGGATACCAAGGGCACCACCCCCCCGGCCCTGGGGGGGGGGGGGGGGGGGGGGGGGGGGGGGGGGTTTCTTGTTTGTTCTTTCACTCAAAAGCAGGTTGGTACACCACTGCTTGCCGTGGTCTGTGATAAACGTCATTCAGTGCGCCGCAGTCTAAGTCGTGGTTTTACTTGTGCTAGTTGTTGCGAACGCGAACGCGAACGTCAAGGTTCTAATAGTTTTGTGCGCACACGACAAACTAACTGTTTCTAGATCAAGACTAGTCACTCGAGAAAAAAATAAAGGAAGATCCTTTAGGGAATGCCTTCGAAAACACAAGACAAGCCTCCTTCGGAAATCACTGACACTGACCCTTTCACTTTTCTTTTTTTCTTGGTTCGTCTATTTTTTGTTGCCTCTTTTTCTATTCGTTAAAGGGACGATGAAGGCAATTTAACTTTTTTTTAAAAAAGAAAGTGTTTTCGGAAGCATTGGGGTCCTGGCATGCTTGTCCATGCATGCAGAAATCTGAATGTTTGTTTCGGTTTCCACAAATAAATTTGCGAAACCGAAACAAACATTCAGATTTCTTCCCTTTTTCGCCTCTGGAAAGAGAAGTGACGTCAGGGAGCACTGTCGGCATCGGTAGGATTTAGTGCACACTCAGTGTGGTTTCAGTGGTTCGCTCTAGTGCACGGCGGTCTGTGAAGAAAACCTGAAAGAAATGGACGACAACGCCGCGCTCGCAAACGAGTTTGAGCTCCCGTTCAGCGACCTCACGCCGACTGAACGGGAGATGCTGGTAAGGACGCAGAACTCTGGATTGACGACCGATGCAGCAATGCGCAGCATTGCTGCATCGGTCGGCAGTTTATGCAAAGTAACGTCGCAAAGTAACCGGGGAGCAGTATCGCGGGCGCGTAGATGCGCTCCGATAAGAAACCGAAATCTAGAAACGCGTCCAAATGCAGTGTTTTTACAGAACGCCGTAGAACGCTGCCCCGACGTTATATCCTGTTAAAATTAGTTGATTTAGGGGTTTTCGATGGTGCTCAGCAGGTTTCTAATTGAAACCATATGTTTATTTTCAGTAATTAAAAAGTTAATTAACGAATTTTAATTAATTAGCCCACTTATCGTAAAGATTAGCCACCCACATACTGTCCGCCTGGCCGTATAACCAACCTGCACAAACCGCATTAGTGTAGCTTTCAAGTTTTTTTTTTAAACAAATGTGTAAGAATAAAAAAAAACTATATATATATATATATATATATATATATATCATACATCGTGATATTTTATTAATTTAACGCCAAGAATTGCCGTACGATGGATCTGCGATAGATTTGAACTTGTATTCAAGAAAAGACTCACCCTGTCAACAAGTTTCTTTTTCATGAATGGTCGGACAAGTGCGAAGAGTAGGTCGAAAGCGTACGACTGCCTCACGACGTGAATACCTTTCATTCGCGCCGGCAGGCAGTCCTGCAAAAAAGGAATGCGGTTATAATTGTGGAGACATCTATAATTAAAACATTCTAAATCAGAAATAACCTTTCATTTACAATACCGGAAAGCATTCTAAACATTGCATAATGTATATATTTTTGTAACCTATGGTGGTATATTATATAGGATGGAAGGGGGCATACGTAAGTTACGATTCAGCGTCCAGGTTGCCTGAAAACATTTTCACCTTACACACGTTTCCGTCTTAGTCATGATCTTCCAATGCCCCTTGGGTTACCAAGTAAAAGGATATTCGTACAACACATCATGAACAGGTTCTCAAGATTTCATGTTCCCAAGCTCGATTTTCTTATTTCCTGCTGACTTTTTATTCCGTATTTACGCGAGTAATAGACTCACTTTTTATGAACAAAGCCTGTGGGTCTGCTAATCATCGCAATCGAAAGAGTTGTCAATAATTTAGAGTGTAAAAGTAACGTTTTCTCGCTAAAACGCTATTTGCCCAGGCCACAATTTTACGAAAAGTTCTGTCCTGGTATTCATTAATTGCAACTTTATATTTTATTTTTTTAGGCAGAAAGCGATAGTCGGTATGCGTGTGTTCTGAAGAACAGAAGATCCAAGACAATTTTTTCATAAGTTGTGCGCGTATCGCGCGAGTAGGTATGGTACTGGGGGTTGAGAAGATTTTGCTTGTGTGAAATACTGCACAAATTAACCATTTCTGTAGGAGGAGCCTATTAGATTGCCAGACAAAGTAGATTTACAAATGACTTCTTAAAATTAAAATGAGACATTAAATTCTTGGGGAATATTACTGACACATAAAAGCACCCTGATTCATGAAAATATAAAAAAAAAATATAATTCATTACTTGCGTTTTTAATTTTTCTAAACGCAGATAAATGTAAACCAACGTCGTGTGAAAATAAACAAAAGAAAAACAACGTTTTTGAACGATCTAACGAGACTTTATGCAAGCATCAATTAAGGCTGCCTTTGTTTAAAGAAAAAAAAGTTAAGTATGAAGACAGCGGTATCTACACGAAAGAATTCACATTCCTCACTTGCAAGAACTCCACGGCCCGCCTCATGAGCCCGACCCGGCAGGAGAACACCTTGTCCGCGGTGAACTCGTTGTAGTCCACAATTAGGGAGATGCCGGCCGTCTGGGAAGAAGGGTCTGCTGCCATGTACTCGGCGCATATCATGAACGTCTGTTGAAGCTCGTGGTATGGCAGGGTGTTCGGCATCCATCGACCTAGAACCAGCGCGCGTAAAGACGATTGAACAAATATTCATTGCCATTCATACAAATGGTTTGAGGGCGACAGTCATTAGGTACTTTTAGGGAACCGTTTTCGCACATCCGATACGATACGATTGGTCCTCCGGTACGAACTGCGCGTATGCAACTCTTCTGCGACAGCGCATGCGCAGTTTGTACCGGAGGCCCCCCGTGCCGTGTCGGATGTGAAAAAACTGTTCCCTAAAACTTTCTATTATGTGCCTACCGTAATATCCCGAAGAGTCCCTTCACTCGAAACATAACGGACGCTTATTTTGGCATCATTTACAATTTCTCTAAACACATCAAAAGATAGCACACGTCTAGTAATTGCAGGACTTTGTTCAGTGGTGACCTCGACAGAAATGCTTTTACTTAGCCACGCCGGAAGATAAGCGATCATTGCTCACTGGGAAGAACAGTCATCTGTGGTTCATCGCTTCTCCCTGCGATCACTAGTTCTGCATGGTCACAACATCTAAAACCAGCATTTTTGAAGTTTCTCTTTCATCGAGCACCGAAAGCTAGCCCACTCCTTATATTCACCCGATTTCCTTTCGACTGTAGCTGGGATATCTCTCGGGAGATTACGGTAAGTGGCACCTTTGTCACCGCCGTTCTGGTAGAAAGAGTGGGAGGAAGTGGATAGGGCAGAGAAGAGGACCAGGGCGTGTAGATCATGTTTGCGTAACGCGGTCAACACGAAGCCTCTATTACAATGAACTGGGACAATTTAACTGTAGTCTATTTCAACCTCCACCCTGACAACTAAACCAACACCGGCTCAACGCGCCCAAGGCTGGCTTCTGGTCAAAATGTCCATCGAGATAAAGTGTCAATTGAGTCAAAATTTTAAACAGGTCACGTGAGACGCGTGTAAAAATGTCAATCGAAATGAAATGTCCAATCGGGTCTAAATTTATACCAGGTCAAAACGTTCAACAGGGTCAAAATGTCCACCGAGTAAAGACGTCCATCGGGTCGAAATGTCCGCCGAGTCAAAAGGTCCATCGGGCCTTCTATTTTATTCGCAAGTTTTGGAAACCCGACAAAATATATTCCTAAACAGGGTAAACTTGGAACCCAGAAAACCAAAGTGACTGAGAGCTCCGTAATCACAAAGTGTGCGATAAATAAAGTGGTATTTGTGAATTTATCTTCGCACCAACACGTTTCTTGCCACCCTTTTCTCTGTGTTTGACCTGTTTACCCGGTGACGAAGTGTCCTATAAGGAGTTCCCCTATGTGAACGATAGCCCTGCTACGTGTTGCCCTCGTACGAATTGCCCTTTAATGAACGCCCCACCTCCTTCCCTACGCCAAATTTGTAGGAGGTTCGGTTCTATGTTTGTTGTTCTGTGTCGTGTCAGGGGACCTTGTGGTGCGGTAAAGTGAAGCGTTGCTTCAGGCAGCTGTGTTCCATTTGTTCCGGAGCTCTCATTTTAAAGTGTTTGCTACATTCGTCACCTTGTGCAGCTCGGTCACTTTTAGCAAAAGCTAGAGAATTAATTTTAAAAACTTTAATATTAGTAGAGAGACGAGAAAATTGCTACCCATTATTTGGAGCCAGAAAAGTATTCTAGAGTTCTATTTTAATATTTTCTTCACTTATTCTTGAAATTATCTTATCTAAACTGAAATCGTTTACAGTAAGTCTTTAGCCGTTTTAGTTCTATCAAGCCATAGGTACTACCAGAACACAGACCGTTGGGAGCTGATACAACCCTGTTTTTATGAGCACTAACTTAATTGAAACTTGCCACAAGGAAATTTCAGCAGTTCGATATAAGAGCCGAGGTTTTCAGAAGAAAGCGCGATATCTTACTGTTGAACTAAAGGCCAACAGAGAAAGTGCACAATGGGAATAAGAGGTTTTACGCCAATTCTATATTTGGCGAATTACACAACGAATTTTCGAGATCTAGACCTGTATTCTGCGTATTCATTAACTTGGGATGAATGATTCATAGGAACAAACTTTCGTGAGTGTTTTCAAATGGCAAAATTTGTGAAACTGAAGTCAGCGAAGACGCCCTATTTCGTCATTAACATTTTTTTTTATCGCTAACAGCTTTTAGAACTTTTAGCATTTTTCTCTTAACATTCAACATCTTGTTCAAATTACTAGGCATGTTCTGGAGAAGCTTGAGCCGGCCGTAACGTTTCTTATATTTTTCGAATAGAAAAAAAGTTGTTCTCTCCTAAACATATTGCACTGAAAAATATGGTATGTCACAAAATTAAGAAGTCACTCAAATTTGCGCAACCAGTCAGAGTATGACAGTTTGTGCGAGAACTTGCGGGTATATGTATACCACATGTGTGTACAAGTCGATATCAGCACCAATGTTAAAATATTAGTCAATGATGTGTATTGTCTAACGGGTTAAAATGACCATACGGCTTAAATGTCCATCAAGTCAAAATTTCCATCCAGGTCAGAACATCCATTGAGGCGAAATGTGCACAAAGTCAAAATGACCAATTTTGAACATTTTTTACTTTTTCACTCGATGAACATTTCGTCTCGATTGACATTTTGACCTGGAATCCAGGAGGCTCTTCACGAGGCCTTCTAACTGCTTCGACCCGAGGTCCGTTGCGCTAGCTCATTTAGCTTCCCTTGGAGGCGCACAGCCTTCTGGGGTTAAATGTGCGTCTATTTCGCTCGTAAAGTTTTCGTTGCTTCCTCCAACTAGACCGTCTAGATAGCCTTGTATTCCAACCATTCGAGGACACGTATACTTGGCAAAGACGATAAAGTATTAGACCCACTTTTGTCGCTGGTTTTGTGCGTGTACAGTTTTCTTTTTTTTCTTTGCAGCAATTACTCCTGAAATAAAACGGTGCGGGTTTTTTTTTTCTTTTATAAGCTAATTAGTGTAGCTACTTTCGCACTGGAAAAAAAGGTTACGCCTAATTATGCAGAAACGAGGTATATTACCTAAAACCAGTTAATGACTTTTTTCTGCAATGAACTAAAACCATTGTGTTTGACTATACACATTTTGTTAAAAAAATGATGACTTTCTTTACGATCTGCTATCATGCGCCGCCGTTAGCTTCCTCATGCCAGCATCGTCACGCAGAGGCACTTCAAGTAATGTGGTATTCTGTGATTGTAAAATGTATGAAATAAAAGTGTGCGTAAAAACAAATGTGCAATTGTAAAGAGCAGACAACGTACTTAGCAACTTTAATATTATCAGCCGATAGGAAAAATAGATAACTCATGCCTCTCGTTAGTCAAGTTAGGTATCGGCATCTCTCCAGCATTGTTCTCCTGTGCCACCTACCATAGCTCAAAATGGGGCTATGGTAGCTGGTATACGGGGCACTCACCCATTGTTGCCACTAACGTGAGTCGTCCGTGAGCGTCTTTATCAGGGAGCACCATGAACAGACTCCTAGCGGGGTCTTTGATAATCGATGGCACGAAGTTCTCGTAGATGGAAGGGCAGGCTGATCGGTTCTTGTAGTAGTTCCTCAGGGTCTTCAGTGCGGCCTCTACGTTGTACTTGCGCACGCGGATGAAGCGGACGAGGAAGTCAGGGTCTTTCCTCGCATTTAGTTCGGGCTCATCTGTAAGACAAACGACCTTCATTAGCTTGTAATTCACGGCAACCAAGATTAAACAGAACAGATCTGCCTAACACTTTTCATATTTCCACTCTATATAGTTACACTTATTATTATAAAGAGTGCTTAATTTTAATTGTAACAAATTTAGAAAAACAAAGGAATAAAAATGCAGTTTTTATTATGTAGTATGAAGCTCGGCGGACAGCAGACGTGAGGATAATTGTCGTGGTAAATTGTCTCATGACCTAAAATTCGTTATTTAACTATTTTACTATTGATCTTATGGTTTATGTTACAATTGCAGTATTGACGGCAAATATTATTAGAGGCCACCAGTTCAATGAAAACAATCTATAAAAAGGCGTTTTCGAGATATTAATTATTAAATTTCCAACTTTTTTTTCTAGCCCGATTTTAACATCGCATGAAAAAAGAGAGATAAAGTGGCTTTAATCATGTCGCCACTATCTCGGTAGCGTGTCCTTGGTGAGTGCGCTGACACCGCTAAAGACGTGACCGAAACAACTACGTCACTCTTCCTAGGGTATTATGGTTAGAACTTGCGCGCAATTTTCGTTAATTTGCATATTAAAACGTATGAACTAATCAATTGTCATAAAGAACAATTACATATTTGCAGGTTCTTAATTGGTCTGGCTTTTCATATTACTTGAGTCACTACTGCAATTGCAACATGACCTCTAAAACTAATAAATAAAAAGCTAGTTAAAAAACTTTAGTTAATAATTTGGGGTTTGCGAACATCTTACTTACGAGCTCAAATTCACCATCGATTATCCAAATTATTCGGTCCGACTTCCCGTTTGCTAGTGTTCGACTTTTCATAATTCGACACATCGAATATCTACAAAAAAATCAAGTTTATTGAGGAATTTACTAAAAAACCATGTCACGAGAAAGACGAGACAGGCCAAGCGCTAACTTACAACTGAACGTTTGTTCAAGCACTTATTATTTGTACACAAATTCAGGTTCCCGACATAAGAAGGCAAACTTTTTCTCAGTTAAGTGCATTGACGGTGCACTCACGCAGCTCTCCTCGCCCTTTACTCGAATGCAGTAGGTCTCCAATAATTCTCTCTTAGGTTTGTATTTTAGTTTTCCAACTATTTTTGTTTTGTCAAGATTAGGCGCACACGGACACACGAACACCTATTACAGGAAATTGCTGGATTACCCGATCGGGAATTCGAATTTATAACAGATAAAGCATGCTCGCGTGCCCTGTCATTGATGCACTTCCCGTTAGCCCTTTATACGCTTTTCCGGAAGTCATAGGTATAGGCTCCTTGCACTGACGTCACATCGCATACTTTTGAACACCAAGTAAAAGGAGGAGAGGGAAGCTGCTTTTGTTAGAATTTTGAGTGACAGGTTAATCTTCTATAATCTTCTGGGGGGAGAATAGCGACGCCTGTACAAATCCGGGAGGCACAAAGGAGGATCCTGATAACAGGGGAGCTCCTTCTTCCCCTTTTCTCTGGAGGGCATCGGAAATGACGTCATGTGCAAGGAGCCTATAGGCTCCTTGCACTGACGTCACATCGCATACTTTTGAACACCAACTAAGAGGAGGAGAGGGAAGCTGCCTTTGTAAGAATTTTGAGTGACGGGTTAATCTTCTATAATCTTCTGGGAGGAGAATAGCGACGCCTGTCCAAATCCGGGTGGCACAAAGGAGGATCCTGATAAGAGGGGAGCTCCTTCTTCTCCTCTTCTCTGGAGGGCAACGGAAATGACGTCCTGTGCAAGCCACGTATTGAGTAGACAACTGGCTTTCTCTTGAATTAGTTTAATTTTCATGCCCGCGTCCTGTTTCTTCAACATAAAGCCGGTTGAACACCAACTTCTTGTCCTAAGCTGTTAATTGGTACAGAAAGAAATCGAATTTGAGGGGGGGGGGGGGGGAGGAGTAAACCACAAAAAAAACACACTCGTACTAAAAAAAAAAAAAAAGATAACAAAACACGGAATTTTATTATAAACCTATTATTCGTTGTTACATTCCTAATAGGACAATTTACTACCAAAACACAAAAAAAAAAAACTGCGATAACTGAACCGGCCTTTTTCACAAACCCGTCACTCCCGCGGCGCCGAATGAGGGTTGAATTTAGCGATGCAAAATTGAGCGATTCAAACGATTCACCCGTGTTCGCCCGCTCATCCAGTGCACCGCGTACCCACAGGGGGATGCCTGAAGACATTTGCAAATTGTGTCTCTCGTGCAAGAGTGGTCATGCAGAATATTTTTTATGCTAGCCTTCTTGTTACGCGTGCGATACTGGAGAATCAACGCGAAACGCTTTTGTCTCATCTTTGCGTTTTTTTTAAATTTAATCTTGGGAAGAGAACAAATAACACTTTGGTGTTCGTATTCGATTCGACGTTCGACCTTTTTGTTCAATATTCAGCACTATTTGGTTCAATTTTGATTCGTGTTGAAATTAAAGGTCAATTAAAAAAGATTGTTATATCCTATTTTAATCATAAATTACGGTTGTCCTGAAGTAGAGTATTGTATGAAGATATTTATACATACTAGGCCAATTTTTGGGTTTGTAAAAAGGAAATACCTTTTTTTATTATATTAAGAATATTTGATGAATTATGCTGTGGCCTTTTCCATGTGACCACGGCACGCATTCGCGAGGGCACGGAACATTTGAAAGGGGGAAACGGGGTGCGGGGAAGCAAAGCAGCCGTGACATCGCCAATTTGTTGATCATGGTGCTAGAAAACGTCATGTTGAAAGGAAAATACAACAATATTAATTGTCTCGATAACTATGTACATCGGTGTACTTCACTGTACTGCATTCATACGCAGGTATAGCCTCCCAATTTTTTAAATAATATTGCCCGAGCGCTGATTGACCAATAGATCACCGCGGGTGGTTCCCGTTTCGAACCATTCCCAATAAAACCTTCCCGTTTGTACCTTCCCGTTTCGACCCGGCTCAGAACGACCGTTCGTTTCATCCTTTCTTATTTCGCCCTATCCCGAAACAATCTTCCCGCTGCGGCCATCATTCGTTATAAATTGGGTCGGTTTGTTTGTATTGTTTGTTAGCAATTGATTAGGTTCAAGTGTCCAGTGTCTGTTCTCCTTGCTCACACCACTTGTCCCTCTCCCGAAACAACCTCGGAGACATGGCACCGTACGATAAACGTTGCGTCAGGAAGGGCTCACCCGAATATTTACAGCTTCATCGACCTGATCAAACGGGATGAGGCCTTGGCAAGGATATCGCTGCAGCAGCTTGCAAATGGTGGTGTCGTGCGGGTTAGGTGACCGCCGCGAACTGTCACAGTTGGAGTGTAGCCTTTCTGATGGCGCGATTTTCCTGCTCAACTTCCTCAACCAAGGCGATAGCATTTTCCGGTTTATGACTTTTGCCTGTGTAAGCGACGGTTTTGTGGTTGAACTCGTAAGAAAATGAAGTCGCAATCATATTCCCGCCAGCCTGTCTGATTTATCACTTTTTTAAACTGTCCCGTTCACTATAAGGAAGTTTTAGAATAACGTACGCAAGCACTTTGGGTAAGCTAAAAATAGCGTCGCGACATAAAAACCTAGGCAACGCTACTTTTTACTTACTCAAAGTGCTTGCCTGCGTTATTCTAATTAGGAAGTTTTTGTAGGCCGCGTTGCCCCTTTCGCTAAGCCCTCTGCAACGAGGAAGCCGCTACTGCGCCTGCGCGCCGATGGCCTTGAGTGTAGAGTTCTGTGCTCAGAGCTTTCGCGTGACGGCGAAAACGGTATACGAAAGCTCTATGTTATTTTACAGAGCGCAAAACCGTTAGCGTGAACAAACGATTGTTGGTTTTAGCTGTTTGACTAAACAAAAAAATCAAGACTACCATCAATATTATTAGTGTGTTTGAAAGTGCTCATCTGGGCCACTAACGTAAGCGGTGAAATTTGGTACCTTCTAATACCATTTTGAAGTAAAATTTGAAAAATCGCCAACACCGTGTTCGTGGTAATGTTGTCGCGCAGTGTACATAGTCCATTTCGTAGGTACATATCTTGGGGACCATCTTGAAAGAAATTTTAAGTGGGTCAAGTAGAAATATATTTCGTTGAAGCTTGCCTGAAAGTATTGCATATTTTAAGAACACGTTTACAAGCAAGAATATTTCACAACATAACTGAATAGCTCGCCTACATCTTTGCATTAATTGAATTAACATGATTTCGGGGCATATTTTTAAGCTGAAAAACTACGCAAATTAGGACTAGAACAATGGACACTTTTCGCGAAGAGGTTGAGATGTGCGGGGCTTCATACCAACGGGTTAAAACGGGGCGAATTCAAACGTAAAAGATGTCTTGGCTACGGGTTCAAATATGAAGGGCATTTCGGGAACGGGTTGAAACGGGACAGGTTCAAGCGGGAAGGTCGTTTCGGGAATGGGTCGAAACGGGACGGGTTCAAACGGGAAGGTCGTTTCGAGGATGGGTCGAAACGGGACGGGTTCAAACGGGAAGGTCGTTTCGGGGATGGGTCGAAACGGGACGGGTTCAAGCGGAAAGGTCGTTTCGGGAATGTGTCGAAAGGGGACGGGTTCAAACGGGAAGGTTGTTTCGGGGATGGGTCGAAACGGGACGGGTTCAAACGGGAAGGTCGTTTCGGGAATCGGTCGAAACGGGACGGGTTCAAACGGGAAGGTTGTTTCGGGAATGTGTCGAAACGGGACGGGTTCAAACGGGAAGGTTGTTTCGGGGATGGGTCGAAACGGGACGGGTTCAAACGGGAAGGTTGTTTCGGGGATGGGTCGAAATGGGACGGGTTCAAACGGGAAGGTCGTTTCGGGGATGGGTCGAAACGGGACGGGTTCAAGCGGAAAGGTCGTTTCGGGAATGTGTCGAAACGGGACGGGTTCAAACGGGAAGGTTGTTTCGGGGATGGGTCGAAACGGGACGGGTTCAAACGGAAAGGTCGTTTCGGGAATCGGTCGAAACAGGACGGGTTC